CTAGGACAATGTTATATTTCAATTAATCATTATTATCATTATATATGATTATTATTCATTCAATATCATTATTACCTCTGTCGTGTAAAGCAGTGCTCAGGCCGGACGAGCGGCATGCGCCGTGACGATAGTATGTTGTGTAGCTGCGCAGGCTGTCAGGAGGACTTACGCGCGAGTCGGCGGAAAACGCGATGCGAGCGCGGGCGGCGGATGCGCGACTACGCGCGCGCCATCGGTGGGACGCGGCGCTTGAGCGGCGGGAAAGGCGGAGCACTTTACCTGCGCGACGGCGCACGGCGCACCGCGGCGGCAGCGGCCCGTGTCATGGGTGCGCGCGCACCGGCGCCGCGCCGCAGACCTCGCGCCGCTGGCGACGCGCCTGTCTGCGGATCGCCTACCGTGCTAGCTGCCTGCACGCTCGAGCGCGACCGCGCGCCCCGGCCAGCGCAGCTCGAACTCTGCGCGCGCCCGCGACGGCCGCAGGCAGTCGTCCTCGCTGCCCTCGGTGCAGGCTCCTCGCGCAGAACGCTCGCGATGCGCCTCGCGCGCGCCGCGCGCGCGAACACGCGGACGGACACTTCGCGGGTGCCACGTGCACGTCATGCGCAGCGACGGGGTGGGAACTCATGGGCAGGCAGAGTTTAGGCTCTAGGCATCGCAGGTTAAGTATGAGCTCACATGGCAGAGCAGGTTAATTGGACTTCATGAGGCAGGCAGGCGGTTAATTATATCAGCAGTAGACATCTCAGTAGGCAGGCAAGTTAAATAAGTACTCTATGGGACGCAGTAGTTAATTAGACTCATGGGCAGCAGTTAATTAGATCTCCTATGCAGGCTAGGTTAATATGCGCTCATCGTCAGCAGCACTGTTAATGACTCATAGGCAGACAGATTAATAGCTCAAGGGCAGACATGTTAATAGACTCATGGGCAGGTAGGTTAATAGACTCATGAGCAGATAGGTTAATATACTTAAGGGCTGGCTGGTTATAGACTATTGGACACATTGACGGGCACGTTCTCAGACGCACTGTAAAGCACGCAGTCTGGCATGTTAATAGACTCACAGCAGCCACATGGATATACGTGTGGGCAGGCATGTGGACAGATATTACACATGGCCGGGCACATTCTCAGACGCACCATAAAGCAGGGAGCCAGGCACTTGGACAGGCACACAAACATGCGTGGACTTTCTTGAAGTGTCGACGGAACATAATTGCAATTAAATATACAAAATAATAAATCTGGAAAACCCCAAGAAGTGTTTTCTATGCACTTTTTATTTACAACACAAGCAAGCAACAGTCAATGTCAGAAATACTTCAAACAGTTTATGTCTTCTTTATGTTGCCTTAGCCCTAGTAAATTAGACTGGGACCATGTGACGTAAGGACAATATTTTGGAAATATATAATTTTCAATATAGATCACGAAAAGAGTTTATTCGTTTGGAGGAGGAGGCCTTTTCTTGTTGTTCCTTTTTCGAATTTGGCCTGCTGAGGACTACTTAATGTAACGTAATATCATATTTCTATTTTTTAGTTTTTCTTGTTTTTGTCTCTATGTAGTTTCATAATTTTCCTACGCTGCTGTCTTCTTTCTTCTTTACCTTTTCACAGAAATTCATAAAATTTTAAGAATTCCCTGAAACCTCTTGTTTTTCCTTTCTTCCTTTGTTATCCCTATGCATCATATATTCGTATTCACCTCTTTGATCCAGTTTATTTGCTTTTATATTATTGGTTCTTTCTCCTTGCTCTGGTAACTCCTTACCCGGAACGTCTCCCAATTGCTTCTCCTCAGTTCGCCCCACTTTCGTTCTCATTGCATCCGCGCGCAATGCCACTACCCGCGCCGGTTTCTCCTTCATTACCTCCATCCGCATCATCTGAAACCTTATTACATGTGTTTTTCGCATGGCTTTTCCTTCTATAACCTCCATCCGCAGCATCCTCAATAGCCCCGCCATTTCCTTCAATGCCTTCACTGACTGAATTTACTTCATCTTTCTGTCCGCAAATTGTAGTTCTGAGCAACGTCCGAACAAGGCCCGAGGGGTTAGAGTCTCGAAGGTGCCGGGTTTTCGACACTAGCTGTATAGCTAGGCCGAATTCAGCCGCTGTCTGAAAGAGCATTCTAGCGGCTGTTCTCCCATCAACACCAGACGAATGTCGGAGCAGTATCCCAACAAAAGGGCCGCAGACTGCGAGCGATCTTACTTGTCTATCATCTCCCCTTACTCTTTCTCACATACATACATACATACACACACACACACACACACACACACACACACACAAACAAACACACACACATTCGCACAAATACGCCCTTGAACTTAGATGTTCGTCCAATTTTAGCACTTGTTCGTCCAATTTTAGCACTTGTTCGTCCAATTTTAGAATACGGAGCGA